TTGGTGCTAATTTTCCTAAAAAATTTACTATAAAAATAATAATAAACAAAATCAATTGAATAAGAGTGTACTATTTTGCATTTACCATTGTTGATATTCTATCATGCGAGAACTCGTGTTCTGGAGATCTCGACCTCGTGATTTTTTTTTATATGTGAAGGACATTGGTTTTAGAAAAATTTTACTGTAAAGGAATAATTTTGTAAATATACATGTTTTTAATCATCTTTTAATAGTTTTTGCTTTTGATATTGGTTAGAGGCTTTCTTCTTCTTCGTAATCTAAAACGAAAGAAGACACAATCACAAAATTAGGTTTACAATTGCAGCAATTTTTTAAACAATCATGAACATAACATATCATATACAATAAAAAAAATCACACTAAAAAAAATCAAAAATCTATTCAAACATAAATATTGAGAAAAACTATTCATGAGCTAAACTAAAATATAGGYGAKGAAGACATCAAAAGTGTATGACTCTGTATATCATCGGACCTCGATAGCAAAGATCCTCACCATAACAAAGATGAAACTTACGGCAAGACGAATGGAGAAAAATACATTAAGATCGATGAGATGAAAAACAATAAACGAAAAGAGCACATATTGTAGACTCTAGAACTTGTATATATATAAGAAATTAACTATTTAGTATTTTCTTTTACAATAATTTTCTTATCTATAGTATATACAAATTAAAAGAAACAAAATTAAACAAAAAAACGAAAATTACCTTATGAGTTTGTGAAATAAGAAAATTGTGTCATAGTCTTTTATTAACAAAAAAAAAGAAAATTAACATAATTCTAAATGTTGATGTAACATGTTACTATTGGTTGATTTAAATTCTATGTGGACGGCATTGTTTACTTTTTCGTTTTATTTGCTTTTACAAAGAAAAAATATAACTAAAAAAWAARAAAAWTTATTAACTATTTTATTTCATTTTATATTTTCCAAAATGCATATAATTTTTTAATGGAAAATATTAAGATTTTTTATAAAGAAAACGAATTTTAAAGAAAATGGAAAACATCTTATTATCATAAAAGAAAATTAACTTAATTCTAAATGTTGATATGGCATAAGAATTACTTATGAAAGGAAATAAAAAGTTTATGTTAAAGAGTGATTGATTTAGCATGTTTCCCGAATTATTTGATGTTACTAATTTTTTTTGGGTTAATTTTCTTTTTTTTCAAAAAGCTTACGTGACATAACGCTATTGGTTAATTTAAATCCAATTTGGATAGTTTTAAGAGCTTATAGTCTCAACATTTTTAATGAAGAAAATATATTATCGGAAATTGTTTTGTTTTTCATCGTTTACAAAAATTTCTAACTATTTGA